ATATTATTTTTATAGCTGCAGTTTCAAGAATGTGCCGTTATAGTGTGCTGCTATTAATGGAAGATTTAAGAGATATTAATGTCAGTTAATGGGTAAATTGTTAGAGGTAAAACTATGCAGTCGTTCACAAATAGCAAGGATTAAAACCATATTCATTTTGTGACCAATTGTAGGGGTCCCAACCCCACCCCCTTTTGGCAAACATTCAGTTAAAGCATATAGAACTTTAGACTGGGATACGCTTTAATGAATTTGTGGATGGATTTCTTGTTGCATATGTGATTACAGGTTCCTTTTTTGATCAATTGTGTCTTTTCTGAGACAAATATAAACCTAAGACATTACCTAAATATCCTCTGTGGTAGTGACAGGTCCCCACAGAGAGTGTGTTTATTTATAATTTGTGGCATGTGGATGATTTCCTAATCATTGTCTAAACAGACAAATCTGATTTGAGCCAGACTATCTCACCGAAATAGACAAAGACCAGAAGGCGTCCAAAAATCAGATTTGTTGTGCCTGTGTAAATTTATCTTAGCATCTCTGTCCGTTCCCATAAATATGTCCTGCAGTTGTTGATTTAGATGATGCTCAAACATCACATTCAAACTTATTTCCAAAAAGTAGTATAAGAGGCTAATTTGGACCCCAATATGATGGTTTCTTCTTCTTCTGTCACGTAGGGAGTCACCAGTCAGAGGTATGTGACACCTAATTTAATGAAACACTAATTTAAAATATACAGGGGGACAATGCAATGTCTGAGAAGCCCTGCAGTTTTAATACAGGCATCTTTAGGTCACCTAGCAGTAGCTGTCAATTACAAGTGAGGACAAGACAGAGGGAGAAACATGGAGGAGGAGATGACAGAGAACAAGAGAGTGTGACAGGGAGAGGTGGGAGAGGAAGAATAAGTGAGTGTGAAGGAAAAGAGTCAGGAGAGGGGAGCTGCCGCAGCGAGAGGAAGACTGTGAACCTTATTATTGCTATGTCAAGTTTGGGAGTGTGTGCATGTGTGTGTGTGTGTGTGTGTGTGTGTGTGTGTGTGTGTGCACGCACATCACATCTGGTGTGTTGGCATACAGATCTATGCTCAGCTGTGCCTCAATTTGTATATGTGTGTGTGTGTGTGTGTGTGTGTGTTTGTCCATCAGAACTTGTGCGCCTGCAGGCCCCCGGATTCAGATCAGTCACTGCGGGCTCTCACAGATTCTCCGCTGGGACTTGGGTCAAAGAAATGTCTGCAATGGACACTCTACACCAGCTGGAGAAAGTATTTTTACCAGTAATTTTTTTTTTAAAGCACATCCTCTGGCATCAAGAAATGAACGGCATCAGCTGTTTGAATGTCTGAATTGACTGATCTGATGGGATATATGACCCCAACCATATTGTAAAAAACAGGAAGCCTCAGCAGGGAAGCAAGACAGGAAGCAACAGCTTTGCTGGTTTTAATTTTAAGATGAAACCATTAAAAATTTTAACCCTAGTTCTTTCATATTTGACAGACACGATCTCTAAAAACTTTGTTTGCATGTATAAGCAAGACTAAAAGTCGTCAGCCACCCTAGCAGCTCAGTGAGACTGCACTTGCGCTAACATAAGCATGCTAACACGCTCAGAATAAAAATGCTAACCTGCTGATGTTAAGCAGGTGTGATGTTCAATGTGTTCATCATGTTAGTTTAGCATGTTATCATGCTAACACTTGCTAAATAGTATTTAGTGTTAGCATGACACACAAAGTGCAGCTGAGGCTGATGGGTGACCTTTTTGGTCACACTGTAAAGTATTTTGACCTGATGATGGAGCTAGAGTAGTAGTCCTCAATCAGGGGTCCCTAAAGGGGCTCTGGGAGGGAAATGGGATCCAGTTTATTTCATTATTTTATTCACTCTAGAAGTGAGCTTAGTGTGAATAAGTGTAATAAGAGTGACTATTCTGATCATAGGTTTCACTTCCTCCACGGTTATCTCCTCAGCTGTAGTTGAATTTAGAATTTTGGTCTGAATCGTATCTAACAAGCAAAATCTATTTAGACTGAGGTCACTGAAGTGACATGTTATCAAATGGGGATCTGTGACCTAATGTGTATCAATTTAGGGGTCCTTGACCTGAAATAGACTGAGAACCACTGAGCTAGAGGAAATGTCAGCTCAGTGCTCAAAGTGGAAAAAATAAGTGCTCCCTTTATTAACATGTTGTTATGGGAAGGGTGAAACTGACTGACATACTTTTCAGGCCTCAACTCTGATAATGTGTTATTAATATTATGAAGATAAATTACAGATGGATTGATAAGAGCACAGTGTGCTGACTATATTTAGAAGACATAACAACCATTATGCACAGGTGACAGATAAGTTCAAGTCATCTTAAGTTAAGTTAATGGTTCAAATGAACCATCAGTATAACAGTTCATTTTCAGAACAAACAGGGAAGGATTCAGAACTGCTCGAAGTACTGGACCCGAATTTTTTAGGATATGTGGTCACCCTACTCCTGGGTAATGCAGTTTATTTAGGGCAACTATGAATCGCCTCAGAGAACCTGATATGGAGAGTGCAGAAAAGTCATGGTACAAGTGCAGGCACTGTGTACATGTGAGCATCAGCAAGCACTG